TTAGTTTTATGAAAAGAAAAAGATAAATATAAATAAAAATGAATATAAGTTGAGTATTTTATTAATATATAATTTTATTTTATTCAATAATAAAATTAAATAGTTAATAAATATGAAAAATTATAAATATATGAAATCTAATTACAAATTTTAAGTTAGTTTATAGTATAAATGAAAATAAACTTATTTTAAAAATATGAATATATTTTAAGACAATGGTTAATATTTAGTTTAAAATAAAATTAAAAATTTAATATGTATTTAATATATATTTATAGTTTTTTTTAATTTAATTTAATTTTAAATATAAAAATTTAAAATAAAATAAAATAAAATAAAATAAAAGATGTAATTAACAAGTCCCAGTTAATTTAATGAATTATATATGTTCTTTAAAACTATTAATTAAATAATACCGAGTTTGTGAAAAGAACTCATCATACACAATATTTAGGCCCTAATATTTAGTGTATATAACAAATTAACAGTATATAAAAATATGTTATCAATAGCAATAATTTTGATAATAAATTAAGATGAATAATAAATTTATTTATATAAAAAAAAATATTATTAAAAGAATTAAAGAAATTGAAATATAATTTTATGAGATGAATGAGATAATCATATATGAAAATAATTTTTAGTAAGATTTACGTACAACTTTTATATAAGTTAAATACGGTAATTAATGAGAATATAAATTGAGTGTTTTGTTGATATATATATTGAGAGACAATACTCATTAAATAAAAAAAGTTAGCTATTCAATAAACATAGAAAATATTAAATTTATTAAATTTAATTATAAAATACAACTTAGTTTAAATTACAAATTAAAATAAACTTAGTTTTATCACAATTTATTTGAATTGAAAGAATATTATATATTTTTATTGCTATTTATCTATTAAATTGTTTTTTCTTTGAATGGAAGACTATATATTTTTTTATGCACATATATTTTTCTTATTAACAAAATTTATCGTGACCATTTATTTTTTATTAAAATATTTTAAATTAATTTGTATCTTTGACAAAATATATCTGTGAAGTGCATATATATATATATAACTTCAAATTTAAGTTAATTTGTTCTAGATCAAGGATCAAACATTTTAAATGAGTGCAGATAAAAGAAGAAAAAACATAGCATTTACTCTCTTTGGTGTGTTTGTTTATTTCTCTGCACTTCAATACTATTTTGAGCAACCTAATCAAATAATAGATAGAAGAGTTTCCAATTGTATTGGCAACTATTTAGAGGTTACAAGTAATTAATTTGTGATTATACTGAGAAGTAAAAACATACTTTACATTTATTTTATATCTTAAATCGAAATTTCTTTAATGGTTAACAAATCTTACTGGATAACTCAAAGCAATTTCAGTATTAGCCTAGGATTATAGTTTTAGCATCTATACATTTATTATTTTGAATTAGAATTCTACTTTACATAACTGAAAATAAAAATTATAAATGAGGACATGTAAAGTGACCATAGAATTTATTTATTTCTATCAACTAGTCAATTGAAGGGTAACAAAATTATAAAATATTTTAAATCCACATCGACCCCAAAAATGAGGACATGTAAAGCGGGCTAACACAGAGGCCCAACACAGGAAACGGTCCATGACTGAATTATACTACAGAGTACACAGCACTTAAACACGGTCCATGACAAGCTGACACGTACAAAAAAAAAACACAGAAGACAAAAGGAAATAAAATGTGAATCGAATGTTAGAATTCTTTCAAAAAGAAATTATTTAGTGTTATAATCAATTATAATTTTTTATTTTATCAAAAGACAGATTAATATTAAGATCGATACGTAAGTCAACTAATAATGTAATTAATTATTTATAAATTTTAAGCATTTAATAATGTTCTATGAGAAATAGAAATAGTGAGTCTAAATTCTAAATTCATAATAAGTTATTTTTGAAACAATTCAAAATTTGATCAGGCCACACTCTCGCCGCCTCTCATTACTTTCAAGTCAGTTAGACACGCTTTCAAGTTCACAGCCCAACCTGTCCACCTGCACTTTTAAAATCAATCTATTCAATTTTAAACTAAACTATCAATATAATATCTTCTTATATCGGTTAGTTTACACTTAATTTAAATTTTTTTATTTAACTTATATTTAATAGATTATAATTTATTATTTTATTAATTATTAAATGTAAGTTAAATGAAAGATTTAAATTAAATGTAAAAATTTTTAGACTTGTACTGAAATAAAAAAATCTTTCCCTGATTTTAATTTTTCAAATTTAACTTGTTATAAAATTAAATTAAAATTGTGTTAACCAAAAATAATTCATTATTGTTTAACTTCTTTTAACCTCTATGATTCAGCAAAGAATATACTACACGGCCATGGATCAAGGATACGAATAACAATGTAAATGAGTAAAAGTCAATTTGAATATTTTAATTTAAATTTAAATTAATTTAGTACGTACTTAATAAACATTTTCGTATTAAAATATAAAGTCAAAATAATAATAAAGTGTAACTTTATTTATATAAAAATAACTTAAAGTTTTAAAAATTAATTATAAAAATATTATTTTCTTTTAAAACAATTAGAACCACTATTTAAAATATAACTTTCAAAATTAGATAGATGGGTAATATTAAAATTTATGTTTGACTAATTTAAATAAACAATTTTAATTTTAAAATTTAATCAATAAATTTATTTAATTAAATAAATTTAAACTGTTTTTTAATAAATGAATTTTAAATGATTAATAAACAGTTTGACTCATTTACGTATGAAATGAATAAATTAAGGTGACTCTTATACACATAATGTACTAAAAAAAATGTGTGAACAATATTTTGGGGCAGGAAATGAATAACTACGACGTTTTTACACAGAATATACAGATATTACGGTGAATTTTAGTTTTTATTTTATCACTTATTAATTTTATTTTCTTCTCGTGTATGTATATAAAATATTGTCAAGTTTTAATCTACAAATAACAGTACTCTTATACTAAATAAGGAAAACATTAATTAGAATGGTACAAAAATATTTAATTAAAAAACTAAAAGTAATTTTTTATTATAAAACGTAAAATTTAATATATTCGCTTTCGTAATTGAAGCTCTCTTTCATCGTTTTTATTTGATAAAATGGAATTAACCTTTTTCCAAATACTTATTATAAACAGAACAAATAGAGAAAGAGGGTAAAGCACAAATAAAAAATGAATAAGGAATAGTTTTTCCTTGTCAATATTAAAGCTTCGTTTGAACAAGAGAAAAAGAAATATTGATAGTAATTTTAAGTCAATTGATCTGGTAGTTGTTTAAAAAGCAAATTTGTGGCACTTATCACTTTTCCACCATCTAAGGAAAAAACCAATTAATGAAACTGGAGAAGCATGTGATGGAAGTAAACGTGAAATTGGCAAATGGCATATAGAAAATGAGAAGAACAGCGAAATGCAGCTAGACATAAGACAGGGAATCGATATGGCAACTCAGTTTTTATTCTTCTCCAACCAAAGGTTCCTCTTCACAGAAAATAAAACAAGAATCTCTCTGCTATCTTCTCTCTTCTGCAACCCAAGTTGTTGCATTGATTCGAGGGCATGGATCCCACTTGATAGCCAACTCCAGATCCAACAACCCGCCATGGCCAACTGCACCATAGCAGCAGACCGGAGATCGCCATTGACACTTCACAGGCTACCAAAGTTGCCGCTACTGTATGTATCAAAACTCTGACTTGTGCATCCAACTTATCTTCATGTGTTACTGCGTGCATCCAAGTATCTATTCTTTGAACATTGAAGTAGAATAATAGTTAGAAGAATTTGAAAATTATTATGACATTAAAATTTCTAAAGTTTAGTTAAGGCTTAGTTGAGGCGTCCATTAAGTTTCATTTTTTCTTTCAACTTTAGTCGTTAAGTGTTAATTCTCAATTTCTATCCCTCATTTAATGCAATATTATGTTTGCTTTCTTTTTCTTTTGTGATAAAAATGTAATACGTTTTATTAAACAAATCTCTCTGTTTCAAATAAAAATAAGTAGGTCAAATAGAATAAAAAGTAAGTACAAAAAGTTAAAATCAAAATATTTTCCTTGAAAATAAATGTAATTAAGAAGTTTTTTCACTAGATGTAGATTATAAGTTGACTATTATTTCCTGGATTTTAATTTTTAATTGTCGTCATGATTCAAGTAGATCAATGCGTGATTCTCATATTCTCTATGTTTCTTCTCCGATTTTATTTTGAATTTTAAGTTGGAGAAAAGAAAGGTTAGTTTATTTGCTTTTATCTGAGGAATAACTTAAATCATCTAAAATTACAGTTATCACTGCATATACATTTAAGAGTTAAATTTTAGAGGATTTTTTCTAAATGAACGGTATTATATAATATTTATTAAAAGAATAATATATTAAATTTATAATATTGTATTTTTAAAAAATTATAAAATTAAAAATTGTTTATCAAAAAAATAAATTGTTTTCTTTTTTTCTAATAAGCACAAAAAATTCTATTGATATTAAGTACAAGGGTTACTCATCCCAAAATTACAATAGGAGTACCTATAAAGATTATAAATTATCAATAGTCATAAAATAAACATAGACTCGTTACAAAGCATTCATGTAATAACCTCTAAAAAAAAATAAATTTGAGGCTTTCTAACGATTCTAAATAACAACTTACAACTAACAATGTCAAATTAGGACCAACTTTGCAACAACCGCACCAACTAACAAGTTATAACGAACATTAGCAGCAACTAATTTTGCTGCTATATATAGTAACATAAAATCAACTTCCAAAGATACCAACAGTGATCTGGGATTATAATTCAAAAATACAGATTATAATTCACACAATTTTTGAAACAAAGGAAGCATAACATGCATCCCCCTATTACAACGAATATTTGAAGTAAATACTGATTCACACTATTTTATTGAATACAACATTTACCACTCACTCACTCTCAGTCTTCAGAAAGTGCGGGGGACGCTGCTGTTACCGCTTCGGCGGGGACGCTGACTGTTACCGCTTCGGCGGGGACGCTGCTTGGTTGCGCTTCGGCGGAGACGTCGCTGGATCTGCGTTTAATGCATCCACACATTACTGTGAATGTGAATGTGAATGTGATTGATATTGATACTAGGGCAGAACGAATGAACTTATAAAACACTGTGAGGATATTGGCTGAGCCGCCATCATTACTTCCCGAGTTTTCCACCCCCGATGCCGCTGGGTAGTTCTCATTTCCTAGCTCGATTGAACTGCATGAAATTGAAACACCCTTTACAACCCCCAGTTTTAAAAATACCAGCAAATGCACAAAATTAGAAAGATACTCGCTGTGAACCCTACTTTCTCATCAATTTGAAAAGATTTACCTTATACAGTACAATTATCATTTATCACTTGGAAAAACAAAAAAAAAGAAGAAACCTAACACTAAACCCAGGTTTTTACTTCTTCTCACAGGCCGTCAGAAAATTTAACAACAGTTTTCCTGTCCTAGAAAGGCTTTCTGTGCCAGTATTTCAACTCCAAAAATCACTTATTACAAAAAAATTAATCTCAATAAAATTAAAATTACCTTGTGGGGCAGAAAGTGATGGTATAATAATCAGCAAAGGCACAGTTGAAGTTGGAGGAGGCACGGTCACAAGCATAAACGATTGCACGAGGACATCGACTCTTGAAGAACTCTGAATACGAGCTGGACTTGCATTTCTCAGGTGTTTCGCAGCAAAACTTGGAATTCCCGAATGATTGGCACTCACTTTTGCAAGCCACGCACTCACCGCCTCTCATCACTTTCAAGTCAGTTGGACACGCTTTTAAGTTCACCTTGCAACCTGTCCACCTGCACTTTCCGCCTCTGGATCCGGTTGCGGTTCCGCCCCGAGGTTCGACCTTCACTGGGAGGTTAAAACCCTCCACGAGGCTGGCGTCGAAGAAATCGAGACCGCCGCCGCCGGTTCCGTTAAGATTAAACTCCACCAAAGTAACAGGCGGGGCGGCTTTGCCGCCGCTGCATTCTATGGTGGAGGAACCGCAGTCGCCGGTGATGCAGGAGAACTTCCCAGTGGAATCATGAGAGCAGAGTGTCCTACCCCATATGCGACCGGACCAGCCAGGTGGCACGGGAATGATTTTGGACTCGCCACGTTGCAGCGTGAAGCCGGTGGTGGAGACCGGCAAGGTTCCGATCCCCGATAAAATGCCTGGCCAAACTGGGTAGCTGCACTTGTTCTCCACTTCGAACGTCACTGAATCCGAACCTGAACCATTTTAAAAATAACATGAAGTGATGAGAGGCGGCGTTTTAAGAATTTTCTGTGATCTCAAAAATAAATATGAAAATAGTTGCTAGCTTCACCTGTAAGGAATTGGAGCAAATATATAATGCCCAAAGTGATAGCAAACCTAGTTGAAGCAACCATATTGTGTAGAAAAATTACAAATTGATGCAGAAGGACGAGCAACTATATCTGGACTTTTGAGAGGTGGGAGAAGGGATGAGGCTTTTTATAGAACAGGTAGCACTTAAGGACGTCGACTAGAGGTGCGCCAAGATTACCAAAGTGTTCACGCAACTTCCTTTCTTCTACCACTTTATGTCCTAGCGTAGTATATGTCTTGCTTGTTGTACTGTTGAAGCTATTTAGAAATAAAAAACATGTATGAAAAACTTTCTTTCAATTTTAGTAAAAATAAATACTTGAGTTTTTAAACCATACAAGTTGTTAAATTGGTTTCAAGTTAAACTTCATCAAATCACACTTCTAAGAATAAGATAATTTTATGTTTTTTTATTACATTAATAGGTAGAGCGAAATCATTTTGCAAAGTAAAAATTAAAATTTACTAAATTATAAGTTTCTTCTGTTGTTTACTTTCACTTTTGAGTTATATTTTCTTAAAAAATATTTTTGTTTATTCTTAGTTTAAAAAGAATAGAATGAAAGTTTTTAAACTCTTCATATATTTTTACACGACTAACAGATAATTAGTAATCTTTAAAGTGCTAATACATTCGGTATCATCACTAATGGATTCTTGAATTTAGTCTGGTTTTCAAAAGACTGTTTTATCGTGTGTGAAAAGTTTTTGTTTAAATTTTGCCGATTACTCCATTCTTATTTTCAAGTGTTATTTTTTTAATGTTCTCATTGTTAAATGAAGCCAAAATGAGTTATTTTAATGTATTTTTTAGTGACTAGATAAAATTGGGGCATATTGATTAAGACGAAAAAAATGTGAAGTGATTTTAAGTTGAAGTTATGTCGATGGTGGCGAGTGCTAAGGTATTAGGGCCATATAAAAAACTAGGTTAAACTAAATAAATACACATGTTGACTATCTCGAATGTTGCTTGATACAATCCTATAGCACGTTAGTACATGGGCTCCTAAATCATAATAACAAGTGAACATTCTAGAAGAAAACACATTTAATTAGAACCATGAAAATAGTTGATACGAATGGTACCCATAAACCTGGATCATTTTCTAACTACGGCTCCAACTCAACATGATCCTAACGCTTTATCCATAAACTAACTAAATATACTGTATTGATTTTTATTTCTTGTAAAAACAAAACCTTTGACTGAAGATGAGCATATCGAATATGTTCCAATCATAAGATAATTAAAGCACAAGAATAAGGAAATACGGATTTGACCTTTCTGTGCATCTTAAAAAACATATAATTATTAATTAAAAATAATAATTGATATTATAAAATATATATATATATATATATATATTCATATATAATAAATTAAAATGTAAAACTTTACTCTTTAATTTTTCAATTATTATTATAATATCAGACTTTTAGCGCACGACACACGTGATATAGAGACGGTGGTAAGGACGGCTGCAAATTCAGCAGGCTACAGCGGGCCAGCATGGAAAAACATCAAAGTTATGTAACTTGAGTTAACAAAAAAAAAGTCCAAAATACCTAGGAAAAGAAAAGAACGGTGTATTAATAATCTCATACATCTTTTATGGATTTTAGATAGTTAAAAATATTATTTATAAATTGAAAAAAATATTGAAGTAAGAATCTATACCAATAATAATTTTGACATTTTTTCTATATTCTTTTTATTTTTGTAATTATTCTTTCTGTTTTGTAATTGAGGAACATTTCTAGATATGATTAAATAAAGTCTTCATTTCTTGCAATTTCTTCTTGATGTTTAAATTTGAAACTGCATTATTTAGGAAAAAGTGGAAAGACAGAAATTATATTTAAAATGCTAATACATTTTGTATCCGTAATGGATTGTTGAATTTAATTTTGTCTTTAAAAGACTATTTTATCTTGTATGGAAGTTTTTTTAAAAAGAAATAAATTACAAAAATTTTGCTGATTACTCCATTCTTATTTTATAGTATTATTTTCCCATGTTCTCGTTGTTAAATGAAGCGAAAATGAAATTGAAATTATCTAATATTTGGGTTATTTTAATGTATTTTAATTTTTAGTGACCAGATAAAAATTAGAATGATATTAATAAAGATGTAAAAAGGATGTGATGGTAGCTAATCTAAAGAGCACGTGCAAGGCCTCCAATGTTACCGTAGGGTGTCAAATTGAACATGGTCGATACAGTCTTGATTAAATGTTTTAGACTTCTAGTAACTCATCTAATCCACCCAATTTTAACATGCTAAAACGCAAGTATATGACGATTTAAGGCAGATTGGTCTATCAGACTCATTTTTTATTTTTAAAATTTTAAAATAATTATTTATTAATTTTTATTCATATAAAGATTCTTTTTTGTTATTTATTGTAAATTTTTATTAATTTTAAGTGAATTGTTCCATTAATTAATTACTCACCAACCTTATTTTTAAGTTTTAGGAAGCTTATGCTAGCCCATTTTTTTAGTTTTGCCGTTTTTCTTGTCTGTGAGATGACCCGTTTTGACGAGCTTTTAGCCGTAAGAAGCGCTGTTGGTCGTCCAATCCCAAGTCCCAAAACCACGAAGCAACCGAAAACGACAACAGCAATAAATAAAAACACATCAAAGCCTCCTCGCAGAGCACTGCGAATACCCACTGACAACCTCTTCATCAGTGCTCGACAACGAACGCCCTGGAGTTAAGTATTTTCAATTTTAACAATTGCACTTTTTTACATATTAAATACAATATGTATTAAATATTCTTTTTATATATTTAAATCATGAAATAGTTTTCTGTTTAATAAAATTTTATAAACTATAAAAAATTATTAAAATATTTATCTTTTGGCGCACAATATGTTTACTTTTTAATCAAGATATATTTTATATCAACGTAAATTTTGTTGAGATGGATTCCCAAGTTGATGTTAACATAATAATAAATGATTGTGATGTTAACACAAATAGGCCAGTGGATTATCTGATTTGACGAGTCAAACTGAGCTAGCACATTCAATTCAAATATCTCTTAACTTACCATGGATAAGCCCAAATTAAAAATCCATAAAAGTTAATCGTTTACTTATAAAAAGTTTTAATGTGTTATAACTAATTATTTTGATATATTTATTAACAAACATTTATCAAAAATAAATAATAAACATTTTTGCAATGGTTCATTTATATTTAACTCTAAACCACGCGTACGAAGTGAAGTAGAGTTTGAAGAGTTTTTTTGCTTTTATTATATGTCTTGTGTTTGGGCTCTTCGTGTTAATCTTAGCTTCTGGCGGTTGATAGGCAGAATGTGTCTTGAGAGAGAAAATTATGCGCCTAAACGCGAGTAGGACGTAAATATGGATTATATGATTTACACAATTATGTATATGTATTATAACATTCATCGATGCTAATCTTCTCTCACTCTCTCTTGCCTATCATCAATATTTAAAGTTTATTTCTCTTATACGTATTACATGTAATATAACATTAATCCAACAAATTTCGCGCGTGATTCGGCAAAATACAAAAGCAGGAAACGGGACTTACTTTTTAGACAGTGGTCGGGGCGTTTGTTTCAGACGTGGTTCCCGCCACGACCTCAATGGTCCGAATCCTTTCCGATAGACTAACCTTAACCGTAATTTTGCATGCTATAAGTCCACAAATGAAAGCAAGAACCGCCAGCATGGTTACGAGGTTGTTGGTCGAACCGTGCGCTTCACCTCCTGAGCTGTCCACTGCCGCTGGGTATTTCCCGTTTTCCGCCTTTGTCGAACTGCATTCAGATTCAAACATCTTCACTCCCATTTTTAAAATCGCGAACATCGAAAGTGCACGTATCCAACGCATGCAGTATATGTTGTTGTCCATATATATTATTATAAAAAAATGTAAATCTTATTCTCCAATAACATGAAAGGGACAAAACGAAACTTAATCATCAACTTGAAAAAGACAAATGAGTGTGTAAATATAATTGCAAAGAAAAAGAAAAATAAGAAAGAAGGTATAAAAAAGATTACCTAGTGGAGGGTGTTGAAGTGGGGCAGAAAGTGAGGAGGTAATCAGCAGAGGCACAAGTGAAGTTACTTATGCCATTATCATAAGCGTAGACATAAGCACCTGGGCATGCTCTCTTGAAGAACTTCGAGTAGGAGTTGGCCTTGCACGTCTCACTGCAGCAGCACGCGCTTTTGCACGCCACGCCCTCGCCGTCTCTTATCACCTTCAGCTCCGTCGGACATGCACTGTTCAAGTCCACCGCGCTGCAGTTGCCGCCCATTCCGGTTCCCCCCTTAGGTTCCACCCTCATCGGTATGTTGAAGCCTTCCACGAGACTCACGTCGAAGAGATCGAGCCCCCCGGTGCCGTTCAATGTGAACACCGCCAGAGTCACCGGCGGGTTGGCTTTGCGGCCGGCGCATTCCATGCTGGAGGAACCGCAGTCGCCGGTGACACATGAGAACTTTCCGGCTGAGTACTCTCGGGAGCAGAGGGTCCTCCCCCATACGTGGCCCGACCATGCAGAAGGCACGGTGACAGTTTTTGACTTGCCCGGTTGGACGGCGAAGCCGGTGATGGAAACCGGCAAGGTTCCGGTGCCGGGAAAAATGCCTGGCCAAACTATGTTGCTGCACTTGTTGACCATTTTGAACATCGTAGGGGACGAACCTGTGTCACAAGTTAAAAACAAGACAACGAGTGAACATATTTAAAAAAATAAAAAGTTTGTGTGAGTACCTGTTAGGAATTGAAAGAAAAATATGGTGACTAAAGTGGTAGCGAAGTTTGTTGAATCGGCCATAATTGAAATAATTGGAATAGCAAACTGATGAGAGACGAGTTAGCTTGAACTCATAAAAGTGAATGGGTGACGGGTGTATATATAATTGAGAAAGAATGAAGAAATTATATCAGAATTGGACATCCTTATAAGTGCTGCCATTGCCGGTGGAGCTTACGAAGAAATTAATTAAAATGAAATTGACATGTTTTTTCAAACAATTACAAATA